ATTGGAATTATTGAAATTGAATTTATAAGTATTTTTACTTTTTATTATTTTGAATTTTTAATTGTTAATGAATATTCTTCACTTGTGAGAAGAACAAAGTGAAAGAGTCTTTGTTATTATTATTACTAATCATATTACCTTAAGTTCTAGAAAGCTTTACATTAGTATAGAATTTTCCTTTAAATTTCTCTTATTATTCTTTTATTCTCTTTCTCTTTGATCTTTACTCTCCCACAACTCTCCTACATTATTATTTCTTTTTAAGTAAACACAATTTTTATAGAAATTAACATAGATTTAGATATCCCTTTTCTCTTTTAATAATTTTTTTATCAGTTTATATCCTCTCCCAATCCAGGTTCTTGTTTGTAAGCTAATTTAATGATTAGTGAACAAACTTGTAACAATAGATTAAATTGAAATGATTAGGGTAATTGAATTTACTGTTTATTACAGTATTGACTTAAATACATTATTGAGGAAGTTTAAATATAACAAAATCTTTGAATTCAAATTTCACCGAATTTTTCGAAATCATTGCTGTATCAAAAAAAATTTGTTTTCATATCAACCATATTTAAGTTTCTCAAAAAGATTGTATTTTATTATTTTCATGTCTTTCGAGCTCAAGTGAAAATTGCATTTGTCACAAAAAATTTGTCCGATTCTTGAAGAACGGACTTTTTTCGAAGTAAACCGTATGCATATAAATGTGTAGCACAATAAAGGTATATATGTAATGCTTCACATGGCCGTGTTAGCATACGTACGTAGTAGAACACCGAAATTATATTTATTATATACGTATTTTCTAATATAAAAATGTCGGAAATTAACAAATTGAAAAAAATAGACATGCTTTCAACATCGTCTTCATCTATCCCATCACTTCTATCAATAAAGGATAACATTACTGATTTGTCAAGTTCGAAAAAGCGAAAGAAATTGAACTTTTCGAGAACAACAGCTTAGCTTAGCAAGAAATAAGGGAAAGCAACAAACTGACTCTGAAGAGAATCCACACCAGCAAGCGATAACTGAGGATATTATAAAGAATGATGATAAATCAAAAAAAGAATCCAGAACAATTATCGATGGCACTATAAATGATCAAATGGATCGGACTTTGACAGCAACCGATGTTGATTCCATAGCAACTTACTCGGAGCAAATAGAAAGTAATTTAGCATTATCCTCTTCATTTATTACAGCAAAAAGCACTGAAAATCAAATCATGAACCAGCAACAAATTGACATAAAAAAATTGGATGATTTATCGATTCTCTTTGACAATACTATCAAATATAATGAAAACTTTGAAACAAATTTCATGAAATTTTTTACAATTCTTTCCGAAAAATCGCAAACACCCTCTGATAAAATAGAATTTTGCAAAGTTTATAAGACAATATACAACACCGAAAATTTTTAGGCTTTATTACCACTTGGGTATTAATGTTGACAAGGATTATGATCAAGCCTTACAATATTATCAGCAAGGACTGGATAAAAAGATGAACAAAAATCATTCGAGTGGTATTTGAAAGCAGCAGAGTCAGGACATCTTTCAGTACAATTTAATCTTGCTATCTATTATACAAATTGAAAAGGAAAAATCAAAAAGCATTCAAAAACAGCAAAGTCTGGAATTTCTGAAGCTAAATTTGCTCTTGCTTTATATTATGCAAATGGAAAAGGAACAATCAAAGATGAACAAAAAGCATTCGAGTGGTATTTGAAAGCAGTTTATTCTGGTCATAAAAAAAGCCAATTTTTATCGAGATTTAGTTATGAAAGAAATTTAATTACAAAAGAATTAGAAATATCTTTTATCATCATCTGAAGCTGGTAATTCATACTTTTATTTTCGACTTGGGCAATGTTATGAATATGGAGAAGGGATAGATAAGATGACAGTAAAGCATTTGATTGGTATTTAAGAGCTGCGGAGTCCGGACATATTAATGCTCAATTTAATCTCGAAAATTCTATCAATATGGAATAGGTATTTCGAAAAATCTCAGCATTGTTATGGTATCAAAAGGCTGTAGAAAACGGTCACGATCGAGCTCCTGAAATGGTTGAATCTTTTAATTTTGAAGAAATTTATTCTAAATCATTAACATTTACTCCTTTTGTTATTCTTTTAACTTTTAAATAAGATTATTTATTTAACAACACTTTGTTTTAACATTATTTAATGTATAAAATAATTATATTTACCATTGTTTGAAATATGTGCTATTAGAAATTTTGATGCTATTCAGTCAAATTTCTTCGTATATCGGGTCGAGCTATTATAAGAATTTCTTTATGAATAAATTCATTATATTGAGAGGATTTCTTATAAGTTGGATTGAATACAAATTGATTTATTTACTAATACTACGTGAAAAATAACAATAACCCAGAAAAGCAAAAAAATTACTAACGCGAAATTTCACAAGTTTTCTGATTCGATTTATCGAGGCTGGTTTAATTACTGTTTCTGGAACTAAATTTGGTTGACAAAGATTAATGAAAATGTATAATTGACTTTTATGCAAAGAATGGCGAATTTTTGAGTTGTCTCAAGCGTAAATTGATAAAGGTCAGATCTTTTGAGGTGGCTTGCAAAATATACGAGTTATGCAAAATGGCATCGTATATCAACTAATGAAGTCGTTAAACATATTCTATGGCTCTATGTTACTAAAATTCTTTGTTTACGAACCCTATCGCTATTCAATACAACTGGCATGTTTGTTGATGACGGAGCAAAAGACATTATATCGTTTTTCAGTGGAATTCATTTGACACTTAAACAATATCAAGCACCAACACTAAAGCTCATTCCATATTCTTATCCAAGAGATCTCTAATTCAATTTGATGATTAACAAAATCAAGTAATTATTGATATTGGAGATATATGGTGAGCTTGAGATTATTGAAATATAAATTAATATACAAGTAACTCTCGATATAGTGAAGTTGAGCTCAAAAACAGTACTCTTGTGAATTTATTAATAAACTCTCAATATAGTGAATTCTTGAAAATTTTTACTAATTATAATGGTTCCGACTGTGTGTTTAAATTATAATAGATAAATTAGGGTTATATTTTATTGGCAAGAAATAATAGTGAACTTCCATTATATATGAATATTTTATAGAAATTTCCACTCTTTTATACTATGTACATATTTATTAAAACTTCGAATGATGGTAATAATAAAGAGGTAATTGGATAATAAAAGAAGAGTCAAGGACGATTTGCCATACATACAGACAAGCTTATATTGTATAAAAATAGAATTCATACTACACTATATCGATACAGGTCTGACTAAAAATGAATAGTGGTGAAGAATTTAACAGACAATAATATGAACATTATTAATAATGAAAACTCAAAAAAAGACTTGCATTTTATTACGTAGATTTGATTCATGTCAAATGATAGGTAAAATCAAGCTCATGAATTATTTGCATTTGCAATAGAAATAAAATTTGGCTATCTCAAACGTGGTAACGGCAAAAGTAAGGTTAACGAATCATAAATGATGATAAGAATTTGTGTGAATTCATATGCGAATAATGAATTTCACTTTTCATTTTATTAATATTCGGTAGTGTTTAGCGAGTAGCCATTTTCTTCTTGTTACATGTATTATCGTAATTGTACTACATAAAGCAACTAAAAGCATGAATCAATCAGATCAAATCAAATCAATTCAAATCAAATTAACCAGACTAACGAGAAAACGACGATGTAAAGTTTTTGTAATTGTTTGTTTAGTAAAGTAAATTCATGTTTGCTTAATGCAATTATATTTAATAGAACATGTTTTCGATTTTAGTAGGTTTCTTCCCTCTTGTTCTCTCCTTATTTTATATTTGTTCATTTTCGTGTGTGCGAGTCCATCGTGTACGACCTACGTAATTAATTAAGTAATTGATTAAAACAGAATAACGAAAACCTTGTGTACTTCTACTACTATTATAAAGTGTTTTTACTGTAGTAATAAATAATTAAAGTATGAGCAACTCCAACACCCACGCTCGTCGCGATTTTTGTCGAACCTGCGAGAATCTTCGCACTATCGTCATATCAAAAGACCAAAAAATTGCGACTCTTCACGAAGAACTAATCATCGCTCAAAAGTCTCTTATCGTCGCTCAGGACAACTTGTTGAAGGCTTCGTCGTTGCGACAGAACAAGAGTAATAGTAACACTTCGGCAGCCCCGTTAAATCAGCCACTTGTAAACGGTGTTTGGCCTTTTCTTGATTTGCCTAATGCTGCTGCTGCGTCTAATGCGGCGGCTCCTATTGGTAATATTGGATCCGGTGGTGATGGCGACGGTATTGGTATTAATGATTCGAATGGAAATGGAATGAACGGATCGCATGACCATGGTAAATAATTGAAGCGACAATATAATATCAGATAAATAGATTTATAATACCAATGAGTGGTTCTTGTTCCCAAAAGGAACGCCTATTTTCCGTGCTTTTATCGGAGATGTTCCTAGAGACATCGATCGTACTCGCTTGATTCAATGTTTGGAAATCACGTTTGGTCCTGTCGTGGACATTCAATTCATCCCAAGCAAGGTATTATTTATTTTTTGATTACTAAAATATGACAATTTCATAATAATAATAAAAAATTCTATTTACAACAATAGAATTGCGCATTTGTCCACTTTGCCAATCAAAACGGCTACGATAATGCCATTCGTGAAGGATTCGTTTACGTTAAAGGACGTATTTTGTGCATCCAAAAGATCAAGAAACCTTTGGAATGTTGCAATTGCACCATTGTTAATACCCTCTAAAACATGATCATATAACTGACGCGCGCAAAAAAATCAAGTTATTAATTTTCACAAAACATTTGCACACACACACTTCTCTATATGCAATATCAAATCACACTGCATTCTGGTCCGTAAATGTTCTTTTGTTTTAGAAAAATAATCGAACATGACATTTTTTGCTAGAAAAAGTCAGTAATAAAATATTTGATTATTCAAGAAAGGTTACTTGAAAGATGATATTGAAAAGCATCTGTAGGTGAAACTTAATTAGAATTCTGAAGAACGACTTTAATGAAGGAATGTATGTAACGCTAAGGCATTTTAATCAACAAGCTTTGGTATTCTGAATGCTCTGAAAATGATGCACTCGCATAGTATTCAACTATAATTTGCATTCTAACTTTGTTTTGAGAATTTAAATCTACATGCATATCAACAAACTTTATACCGTCTACAGTGACAATTTGCAAACTTCTGGTGATATATTGTGTTGCTGCCAGAATCCGCCATTCAAAACCACAATCCATTCCCGAAGTCGATAAGCACATCAGTTGCTATAAAATATTCACAGCAACCATTAGATAAAGTCGTTAAAGCAGAGAATTATCGAGTATTCTGGTTTTCAATGACCGGTATAAAAGCCACTAGTCCACAAATGATGACGATGGGTAAAGGTGAAAGAGAAAGGATATGTCATGGAAAGTATGGAAACTTTATTGATTGGACAAGTGTAAGATTGTGATGTCAAATTTTTGTTTTGTTAAAACAGCAAAGGATGTGCTATGCTTCGAGTAATCGGAGTTGGCTCACTGGCCTTTATACATAATCTTTTCCCGCTTCAGGAAATTTACTATCTCACATGATTAAATCATATGTGCTAATTAAACGATATCGAAATACATGTACATTATGAAATGATCTTCACAGCACATATTCAACCAAAATTGTCGTCACCTCCTGATATGAATAGTCCAAAAAGGGTCTATAGAATATGGTCCAGGAAAAAGCTTAACATGTACTATCAGTCTAACGAATAACACATACCGATACTACTGGTAGGATTATAGCATAACGATAAACTGTTACATAAATAACATATCTTCCCTTTTCCAATACATTTTATCTATCGCTATGCGTACAGTCTATTACGGTTATATAGAATATCAGTATGATGGATAACCGGTGATCAAATGTTATAGTATGGATAATACACATACTACTGGTAGCGGTAGGGTTATAGCATAACAACGATAAATTGTACTACATGTATACTGTTTTGATTTTTGTACTGTACTATGCTATAAGTCTTTTAAAATTATACTATCCATATATGTACAGTATTATCGCATTGGTACAGTGTGGGACACTTAAAGACATCAATAAAATTAGTCATTCTTTAAAAGGTAAAGGATCTTCATATAATGATTAT